TGCTGTCTCAGCCCTGCTGAAACTGGGAATGGACGTGTTGGGAGAAGTATGCTGTGGCTTGCATGCCTCTTGATCTGGGTGGGGATGTTTGTTAAGATGTGTTTACCACAGTATGCTGGCTGAGGCTCCATCTGACTTTTGTACTTTCTCTAGCTGTCACTGGGGTCAAGTAGGCCCTCTCCGTAGCCTGCCAGGCCTAGGCTGGTTTGGATAAGCACTTTTTTTTTTTTTTTTTTGAGACAGTCTCACTCTGTTGCCCAGGCTGGAGTGCAGTGGTGCAATCTCAGCTCACTGCAGCCTCCACCTCCCAGGTTCAAGTGATTCTTGTGCCTCAGCCACCTGAGTAGCTGGGATTACAGGCACCTGCCACCACACCCAGCTAATTTTTGTACAGATATTTCTCACCAAGTGCTCACCTGTAGAGCATTTGGTGAGAAACGGTAGAGACGGCGTTTCACCATGTTGGCCAACCTGGTCTCCAACTCCTGGCCTCAAGTGATCTGCCCACCTTGGCCTCCCAAAGTGTTGGGATTATAGGCATGAGCCTCCGCACCCAGCCCACAGATAGGTCTTTTTATAAAGCGTTCCAGGAACAGTGCCCCTGATATTTGAACCTAGCTCAACACCTGCTTCTCTTCAAATTGGGGCGCTCGTTTTTTGCCTTCTCCTCCATCCTTGCTTTATTACTGCTTGCATGTGCCAGCTTCCTGGCCCCTCATGGCGAGAGTGACTAAGAGCAAGGACTCTGACTTGAGACTGATGCGTTCCTGTCCTGCTCCAGCATTTCCTAGTTATTTTAGACAACTTAATATCTGAAAACCTCACTTCTAAAGTAGACATAATCCTAATACCTAAATTACGAAGTATTGGGTACAACAAACAGGACAAGATGCAGGTACGATATTTAGCACAGCTGTCGGTACATTTTCACCTCTGAGGGGATGTGAACTGAGATCACAGTTTTCTCCTTTCTACTCATCTCTTCCTCCTACTCTTGCGTTGGTCTTTCTCTTTGGGCGTGCAAGTCCCAGGAGTTAGGATTCTTCTATCATTTCCTTGTTTCTGGGGGAAGAGTTCATGGAATGATGGGATGAAAGGAGGCAAATACTGTGTCCTTCGTTCCCACCTGCCATCATCCAGGCGAGTTTCAGGGATCAGATGCAGACATAAGTAACCCACTATCAGCCTGGTCTTTGGTCCCCAGATATCCAGCCTGGCGCTGGGGCTACCAGTTTCCACATTGCACCACGCCCCCTCTCTGTGGGTGGACACTGTGAGTCACAAAATGAGTGACTTGCTTCAGATCCTGGCGACCCCCTGACAGGCAGCCCAAACTGCACATCAGCTTCAGGCTCCGAGACCCCAGACCGGGAGTCTCCGCTTTTTGTTTCGTTTCCCTCTGAGCTCCAGCTCCTAGAAAGGGCACGTCTGCCACCTGCTGGCTGTAAGCAGCATGGCACCCGGCTGTCCCTCAGGCTCTGGCTGGAGCCGGGATGTGCAGTGTGGACCCAGGCCCAGGTCCTGGAGGGCCCCTCCATGCTGGGCCCTGAGGAAAGATGTCCCCCAAAGTCTTCTGCCCACTTCTAAGGGCATGACCCACGCTGTTCAGCTCAAAGAGAAGAATTCGTAGGGAATCTCCTCAGGACTGGGTGGAGACAGATCTGGACAAATAAGCCCTGCCCTGAGGACGACTCAGTGGAGGGAAGGCAAGGCAGGGAGCAAGGACCAGGAGTAAGGCCCAGTTGACTGGTGGTGATGAGGGCGAGACTGAAGGAGGGGTAATCTTTGTCATCGAGGTCTTACTGCATTAGTCCGTTCTCACACTGCTAATAAAGACATACCCAAGACTGGGTAATTTATAAAGAAAAAGAGGTTTAATAGACTCACAGTTGCACATGGCTGGGGAAGCCTCACAATCATGGCAGAAGGTGAAAGGCACATCTTACATGGTGGCAAGCAACACAGTGTGTGCAGGGGAACTGCGCTTTATAAAACTATCAGATCTCGTGAGACTTATTCACTATCACGAGAACAGCACGGGAAAGACATGCCCCCGTGATTCAATTACCTCCCACAGGGTCCCTCCCATGACACATGGGAATTACGGGAGCTACAGTTCAAGATGGGATTTGGGTGGGGACACAGCCAAACCATATTGGAGTCCCCTCATGGCATCTCTCTGGCATTCACCCCCAGAGGTGCTCATTTCTGGCATTCCTTGTTCAAGTGCCCTAGGCCCAGGAGCACCCCTAAGGCCTGAAGTGACTTCCTCTGCCAGGCCTCCCAACTACCAATCCCCACCATCATCCCCCAAACAGAACAGCGATCACATCTCACTGCCTGCAGAAACAGCGGTTTGGGGAGGTAGCCAGGAGGCGATGAGACAGAGGCACAGTCCCAGATAACAAACGGCCTCTCTTCCTTTCTTTGTGTTCCTTTCCCCTCACCAACATGTTATTTTGTCATTTTTCAAACCTACAGAAAAGTGGGAAGAATAATGCAATGAATATTCTTCATCCAGATAAATGCCACAGTTGTTAACATTTTGTCATAGTTGTTGTGTCTCTCATTCTCCCGTGCGTGTGTGTGTGTGTGTGTGTAGTTGTTTTGTCTGTTTGTTTGCTGAATCATTTGCAAGTAAATTGCAGATATCTCTCTAAATACTTCACCATGTGTCTCTTAGGAATAAGTACATTTTCCTACAGAACTACAATACCATTGTTCACTCTCAAGAAAGTCAACGTTGACACAGTAACACTGTCTAATATGTCTGTATTCAAATTTTCCACTTGTTTCAGTGTCTGAGTCTGTTTTGTGTTTCTACAAAGGATTACTGAAGGCTGGGTGATTTATTTTTCAAAAAAGAGGTTTATTTGGCTTGCATTTCAGAGGGCTGGAAAGTCCGGGGTTGGGCAGCTGTTTCTGGCAAGGGCCTCAAGCTGCCTCCACTCAATGGTAGAAGCAAAAGGGGAGCCAGTGTGCAGAGATCATATGGCAAGAGGGAAAGAAAGAGGAAGGGGTGGAAGTGCCAGGCTCTTTTTAACAACTGGCTCCTAGAAACTAGTGGAGTGAAAACTTGCTTACCCTGAGTGAGAGCAGGAATCCATTCATAATGGATCTACCCCCATGACCCAAATTTCTCCCATTAGGCCCCACCTCCAACATTGGGGATCAAAGTTCAACATGAAGTTTGGAGAGGACAAATATCCAAGTCAGCACAAACCACAGCATGCAATGTTCTTTATGCCATTGTTTTTAAATCCGGGCTCCAATTAAGAGTCACACACTGCATTCCGTTACCATGTCCCTGAATAAAAATACAGTCCTCCCATCTTTTTTTTGCCTTTTATGGTGTGGACATTCTTTTTCTGGAGGCGAGACTGGGTGTTTTGTAGAATGTCTTGCAATTTGAATGTCACAATTTAGATCCGCCATGTTCCTCATGAGTAAATTTTTTGCCAAGAATACTGTCTGTTGATGTACATCCTCAGTACATCACATCCGGATGCACCCTTTCTTTTTATTTTTCTTTCCTAATTTATCATCTGCCTACTTCCCAGAATCATGTAAGAAAGCCTACAGTTAAACAGAAAATTACAAATTCTGTTGAGGGTAGAAGCAGCGAATATACCAAACTGCCTAGCTTGATGTATCTCATTGATCTCAGCTTTCTGGCAGCCAAGACCCAAGGGAAAGCTGTCTAGTGGTAGAACTCTCATTTCTTTAAATCAGGGTTCAGCAAACTTTGTAAAGTGTCAGATAGTAAATATTTGGGGTTATACTTTCTCTGTACAAAAAGCAGCCGTAAACAAACAGGCATGGTTCTTTTCCAATAAAACTTTATTTACAAAGACATAACTGCTAGGCTTGGCCCAAGGGCCTTTGTTTGCTGACCCCTGATTAAAGTGAAAGAGCATACTCCAGGTATTGAGTAAAACTTTACTTTTCTGGTTGAATACTGCATATTAATGGAACTGTGTATATTATTATTTATTCACAAAAACTTTTTGAGGCTAATGCCCTTTTCTGCCTCAGCCCACCTGCATCCAGGTGAAACAATAAAAAAAGAAAACATTTGAGGAGCCATGTGCCAAACTCTATGCTAGGTATTGGGTAATACATCAATGACAAAACAAACAAGATCCCTGCCTTTCTTTCTGGAGGACAGAGTCTGATGTAAAAGACAGGTAAATAAAGCTATGCACTGCGATAAGGTTCACGGAGGGAATAAACAAGTGTAGTGACTAAACAGTGGGATGGGGAAATCTCATATCGATGGGACATTTCAGGGAAGATGACATTTAAACTGAGACCTAGTGAAGGTCATGGGGGAGGGCTTCTAGTTGCCAAAGCCCTGAGGTGGGAAGAATTTAGCTTGTGCCGTTTTGAAGCCAGGTGTGGCTGAAGCTTAGTCAGGGGCAATGGGAGGGGGGAGTGTGGGAGGAGGCTTGTGGGTCATGGAAGGTGTTTGCATTTTATTCTAAGAACAATGGGAAGCCACTGGAGAGTTTTAAGCATCTGTCCATCCCCAACCCCCAGGAACTGTCACCTGAAGAAATCACCTAGATTTCAGCGTTAATTCCTAATCCTACCACAGCTATGTGATTTTCGAGTCCAAGTTTTCTCATCTCTAAACAAGGCTGATGCTAGCCTCATTGTAGGGTTGTTAGAAGCATGAAATGCAGCAATGTGTGATCAGGCAGGGAGTAGATGAAATTCACTGCAACTGATGAGCATGCTAGTACCTGGGCAGCCATGTTCCAAGGCAAGGACAGGTGCAGACAGGTGCACACCCCTGCTGTGGAGAAGGACAGGACAAGGTGGTGGGGTATCTTCAAAGAGACCCCATCCCCTTCCCTCCAACCTCCATCCCAGTCACAACCATCAGAAAGCACGCAGTGCACCTGCACCCCATAGGATCCCCTCTGGCTGACAGCTAAGGGGGACACCCAGCTGAGACCCATCTCAACCCTGATCTGCGATGTTGTTTTATTTTTCAGTTCTCCCTGATGTCTTTGTTCGATGCTCTGGACCCAGGTGAGTGTGCTGATCTCCCTGGGGCCTCCCACCAACCCCAGGCTGGTTCTGGGCTGGAGAAAAGGAGGCCTAAGTATGGAAGGGTTGAAGGGACCTCAGGTTTCAACTGGTTCCAGGGTGTCACAGGCACCTTTGAGAACTTGCCTTCAAAATGTGTACACCCACAATACGTTACACAATTTTGGGTTTCCCAAGGACACCGCTGAACCCAGGCTCAGGAGCCCAAGGGAAATACTGCCTATGTAGTTAAAACCCTTGATTTTATAATGAAACGAGGCCCAGAGAGGGGAAGCAACTTTCTCCTGGCCACACAGTGAATTGGAGGCTGAGATGAAGTGAAAGGCTGAGGCAGAGCGAGGGTGAGATGGAACAATGCCTGACTCCAGGCAGGCCAGCCCTGTGCCACATTCATCCACTCCACCTCCTTCTGTGGGAGGGCAGCCTCCAGGCTGAGCTGCCCTGATGACACCCTCCCACCAGCACATCCGCCATTGTCCCCTTCGCCCGAATGGTTTGCTTCCTCGCCCTCAATGCGTCTACTACCTGGTGGGTCCTGTATCTTCACACGGGCTCTCTGTCTCACAGACTTTCTCTCTCACCATCTCCTTTTCCTGTGTCCTCAGCCTGGTGCTCACAGCAGTGCCCAGGCTAAGCAGGGCCACCTCTTCCACATCATTCACTCCTGGTCCTCTGGCTTTGGGTTCAAGTCTCCCTTTGGAGCTCTCAGCCCCAGGGGAGAAAATCCGACTCATTACTCCATCCAGCCAGAGGCCAGCATCCCCACTGGTAGAGATCTAGGCTGCTCACCCACAGAGCACCATAGCCAGGCAGACAACACATGGAGACTGTGGTCACATCTGAACCTTGAATCAAGGATTTATTTGACACAAAGATGGCAGTAACTGGGCCAAATTCAGTTTGACAGTCAATATTCTCCAGCAGCAAAGCCCTGGTTGGGCAGAAACATAAGGCCAGGTCTTCATTCCACCCCACGTGCTCAAAGGTTATTTGTGGAGTTGAAGAGAAATATATATGAGCATGGTGTGTGGGTTTTAGAGAAAAATCTGTGTCTTTCCACACACAAAGGATATTATTCAATGACTCAGTTCAGTTCCTCTGAAGGTGCATTTTTCAGAGAGCTATCCCCTAGCTGATGGCCACACCACCACCCACACATGGAGTCCAGGGAGGGGCTGCAGCCAAGGGACTGGAAGGGTGGCCTCTTCCCTAGCCTTGAGCACAAATTGTTCAAGCACCACTGAAGGGGGTCCTTGGGTCTGAGGGTTAGAGACATGGGGCTGTGGAAGCTATGGGGTGACACACTGGAAGAAAAAAAGTACAGAAGACTCAAGGGCCCCTCACTTCACCGCCAGCTGCCAGAAAGTTGTAAGAGACATCTTCAGTGAGTTCGTGACATCCTGGAATTCTGCAGTGAACAACTGAGCAACGGTAAGCAGTGGCCCTACTGAACAGAGATCATGGAAAGGGAGCAGAGTTAGCCTGTATGCCCATAGATTTATAGCTTTCATCAAACGGATTGGGAGCTACAGAGTCAGATTTGATCTGCAAACAGGAAGAACTTTCTCACCATCAGAGTTGTCCAAAAATCTGAATGGGACATTGAGCTCTCAGGAGGTAATGAGTTTCCCATCATGGGGGCTTTTTAAGCGCAGGCTGAAAAACCACCTAGAGGGAGTGAAGAGTATTGAATTAAACTCTCAAGAAACTGGCTGTTACAAGAACTCTGCCAAAAGCTTCAGACAGTTTGGTGTAATCATGAAGGGACCCTGAAGCAGACTGCTCCTGGGATCCAGAGTCCAGCTCTAAGTGTCGTAGCCTCCAGGGACTAGGCTGAGACGTTGGGCCTTTGTTGCAAAAAGGAGATTCAGTTTAGAAACATCCCTTTTCGGTGTCTGACTTAACCACTCACAGGGCTTTCACTTTGATGGTGTTGTCAGCTCCCTGCTGGCTCTAGACAACAGTGTGGCGAAGGAGACACCGTGCTCATGCCCATGGGCAAGCTGCTTCTTTGGTTGGTCTTGTTGGAGACAGCACATGGTGAGGGCCTTGCCGGAGCAGAAGGTGCCCATTCCACAGTCCCCAATGGGTGGCAGAGGAGGTAGCCAGCAAACAGCACAGACTCTGCCCATCTCCCCAAAGCAGGTGCCACGACAGCCAGCAGGCCTCTGGAAATGCGTCTTCAAAGCTGGTTTGGCTTTGCCCAGCAACGCAGGCTGAGCCCATCCATCAGCTGTCCTACTGCCTGCCAGCAAGAGTCTCTGCTGGGCTTGCCCCGCCAGCCAGATTGGAAGCGTCAAATGCAGGCCGACAGGGCTGGGGTTTGGGGAGGCCCTTGGAGGAGCCGTCTGTGCCACAGTGATGGATGACGCCAACAGGGACGACATTCCGGGGATTTTGATTCCGTTCCACACATCTGGCAAGCTCCTTAACCAGAGCAGCTGCAAAGCCCCCATCACAGGAACTCTGCATGTTTTCCGAGAGACCCCGAACATGGACCGAGTTAATCCTGGTCAAGGGACCCGGAGCACGTGCTTAAGAAGGTTTCCCAACGCATGTTGCTTCCTGAAAGCTAAAACCCATGGAGTTTCATGAAACCTGAACCTATAAGAGGTTCCAGGATTGTAAAAAGGCAAATAAGACTTGGAGTTAGGTAGGTCTGGGTTATGATGTCATCTCCTTTGGCCTTCATTTTTCCTTAGCTGCAGAATAGGAATAATAATACCAATGCCATAGGGTTATTTTAAGGTGAAGTATGATTGTTTATTTAGTTTAGTGTCTTATACATAGAAAATACTCAATACATTATAACCTATTATTAGGATGATTTGGGTTAACTCAGGATACTCTCACTATCCTTCTGGATAATTTCTAGAAACAGACTGAAAACTAGACAAACCCACAAGAATTTCTTTTTATTCCTGATATAAAATGTTCAAACAGCTGCCCATTTCTTTCCCAAAGCTTTTCCCTTTTCTATAGTTTAGAGAAAGTCACAAATAATCTGTGTTTAACCCTGAACTGTTTTTCTACAGTCTACCAGTGGAACCAGATTATGTCAAGCTGCCGTGCCTCGCTACCCAAGAAAATACGTGGACGATTTTCTAGATTTCTACAGAGCTCATCAGGCATTTTCTTGGCCAAGTACATTTGACCCATTTCTCACATAGTTTCTTACTGAAATTCCCTATTTGCTCTGCTTTAAGCAGACATCTTTGTGTGTGTGTGTGTGTGTGTGTGTGTGTGTGTGTGTGTGTGTGCCAGCAAAGCTGCATGCTGGCCAATCAGAAGGCAGAAGGGTTGGCCACTAAGGGAAAAATAAATCTGTCCATCACACACATTAGCTACATGTAGGGCTTTGTGCCGGGCCCTCTGGGGTTAAAAGAGGAATGGAAATGGCCCTTGCTTAAGAAATTATCTAGTTGGAGGAAACAAATAAGATAGACCAAATACCCAAGACAGAGGTGCCAGCTTTGACACTTAAAACTCTCCAGCCAACTGGGCCATGGAGGAATCCTCTTGTGGCAAAAATTCTTATCCTATTGGCAATCTAATATCAATCAAGCCCTGTGTGTCGGTTTGTTTTTAGTGCATCACACACTACCCCAAACTTAGTGGCTTAAACCACTGACCATGTATTTAGGTCACAGTTCTTTGGGTTGATAATTTCGGCTGGGTTCAGCTAGGCAGTTCTTCTGGCCTGCATCAAGCTCAGTTGATCCTAACTGGGCTTGCTCATGTGTCTGCAGCAGCTGGCAGATTGGCTGGCATCTCATCTTGCTGAGTATTGGCTGGCCTTTCTTACATGTCTGAGGCTTTGGCTAGGCCCACTAGGCCAGCCATTGCCCACATGTTCTCGTATGCTCTTACAGAAAAGGCCATACTGTTCACATGGCAGTCACAGGGGTCCAGGAGTGGGAGAGACAGAGAGAGGTGAGAGAAAACAAGACTTCTTGAGGCCTAGGCTCTGAGCTGGCACACTGACCTTCCATCACACTTGCAATTGGCCAAAGCACGTCCTAAGGCCAACTCAGACCCAAGGAGCAGGGAAACTGACTCCATCTCTTGGTGGGAGAAGCTGAAAAGTCACGTGGCAAAGGGTGTGGGTTCAGGGAGCGGTGGAGAATCAAGGGCTATTTTTGTCCTCAGATTGTCTCATACCAAAGCAGAATCTGACTGTGGAACTTGAGGCTACCAGGCCTAGACTTGGTCACTCCTAGATCCTTTACCTCTTTACTACCTTTTAATCACCTTCCTTAGCTGGCCTTCATTCCCCACCCAACCTTGTAACTGGAGGCTTCTTTGAAGACAAAGCCACATCCTACTCTTATTTGTATAACTCTCCACTATCTCCAATGCCATCCTGCACCTAGCATAATACTTGGTCCACTGTAGGTTCACAAGACAAGTTACTTATGCAGACAATAGGATTAAGTGCCAACATAATGGGAAAGACAAAATAAGATTTAAGCCTGGAGGTGGAGAAACCCTCCCAGATAATATTCCTATAAAGCACCTTCAAACCACATGGCTGCCCAGCCTAAATGCAAAGGATTTTGGTGACTTTCCTTGCATAGCCACCAGCTGGATGGCTTCTTCCACCCGAGCCATCTGGGGCCACTGAGCTCTGTTGGTCTTATCCACCTCAACTGAGAGGCCCATGGGCCCCAGAGAGTAGAAAGCCTTGCTTAGCAGGAATACATTCAAAGCCAGTGTATTTTATTTTTTCTTTGGCTTCACTGAGAGGTGAGCAGACCTTGTTACTAGGTCTGGATTCAAATCAAAATCCTCTAACAGACATTTCATTCATCCCTCGTCACGTGGAAAAGCCACCATCTACATCAGAATCTTCTAAATATCTGCAAAAGAAGCAATTATTAATGACCTCACCAAGATTAGCCAGTCTGACTGCCAACCTGTGGGAGAGATGGGAGAAATTACAGAAACAACCTGAAGAGCACTTATCTATAAACACCTGTTGGGAAAACAAACATAAATTCTCCAAAGAAAAAGAAATAAATAAGCAATGCAGTCATCTCATTACCAAATCCCATTGTCTCTCTTAAATGTCAGTTTGAAATCTTTCATGTCAAACTCAGAAAAAACATTTTTTTCTCACTTTCTCCCTCTCTTTCTCTGCTTTATCATGCTAGATGGAGGAAAACTTTATTTGCTCCAGGAAGACAATGGCCTTATCTTCAAACTGGATCCTCAGCCCTAGAAAGGTGGCCTCCCCCGGGAGCATTTTCATAGTGGGGAAAAGCAGTTCGGGAGAAATAATGAGCAAGCCAAGGGAGTCTTGACTTGACACTGTGATAAATGAGGTGAAACTTTGGCAAGAAACCAGAGTTGGCGTATTCAAAAGAGAAATAAAAAGATAGTTCCATTTTAATGGGAAATATAAAACAGTCATTGTGCAAAAGTCGATTTTTCAAAAGCCAGAAAGATAAAGACTCTAACAGAATGACTGAGAGACGAGTAAGATAATGTGGTTGATAATCAGGCTTAGGTAAAGTGCCATCCTCCAAGCCATCAGCTGGCTCCATAGGAGTGCCTTTTCAAGTCAGCTATCTGCATTTGCTCCTGCTTTATTATCATATGCATCTCTGGACGGCTTCCTTGTAGCTTCAGCTTGTCGACTTTGCCATACTCCGGCTGGCTGGAGAGAGCAAAGTCAACTCGACTTTCTTCAAATCCCAAACTTCCACAGACCTACCAGGATCTCCCCCAAGGCCCCAGAGAGCAAAGAGCTTGAGTCCAGACACCCTTACACATGCCTATTTTTTCCCAATGAACAGTCTAGTGTATGGGTTACAGCTGTAGGCAAAATCCATGGACTTTTACAAGGTTATCCTTGGGAAATTCCTAATGAGCAGGCTGGATATTCAGTGCCGATGGTGGAACACATTTTCCCAAGGGTAAGCGTGGAAGTATCCGAGGCAATGTAAGGCACTAGCTGAAATGGTTGAGCTAGTGAGGCATAGGGGTTGTATAGAGACAAACTGCCTCAGTTCATGTTAGTTGTGTGACATTGGCCAACTTACTCAATCTCTTTCAGCCTCGGGTTTCTCAGCTTAGAGTGAATAATACATCTCCTATATTTTTATGAAGATGAAGTTAAAAGGTGCATATTAAGTGCTTAGCACAGGGCATGGTACATAGAAAAGGCTTAATAAATATTATCTGTTAAAATGACTCTATAGATACTGCTTGGGAGTAGTTTGATGCTATGATCAAAAGGAAAATGAAGAGTTTTCTTTTATTTCATTCAGCTACGGTGACTAATGAGGTCCCATCAAGAAATATTATTCACAGGATAAGCCAACCAACCAGGCACTCAAGTACAGTGTGATCTCACCCCAGGCAGACCTCATGTAGGACCCTGGAGATATGCTAGGTCCCAATCCTCTTCCTGCTGTTCAAAGATGAGAAAACCAAGACTCAGTGATACAGTTGGCTTACCCAAGATCAAGGGAGTAGAAAGCCACGACTTGGCTTCTTCTCTTAACCTCCAATCAGGTGCTCACTACCCTGCTAAATGTCAACACTACCTTACCAGGCCATAACATCCCCCCAAGTGAGAAGATGCCACGCCTGAGCCCTCCTTTCTACTCCCCTCACTGTGCAGAGCTGGAGAGACACATGGTTTCTCCTGCAGGACTTTGAATTCTTCGGGGAAAAGGTATCTAACTAAATAAAATGCTGGTTTATTTGAGTCCAATGCTTAGGATTTCTTCTGTCCTGTTCCCACCCCTGCAGATTGGACCCCTGACCTCTATGATGAAAGCTATGAGTATTCTGACCAGGAAGAGACTACCAGTAGCACACTTGCCCAACCTGAGAATCCTGACTGGTACTACACTGAGGACCAAGTCGGTAGGTGCCAAATCTCTTTCAGGGACTCTCTTGGGAGAAGGGCAGAGGGCACTGTACATGGGACCACAGGCAAGGACCTCTCTCTCCTCTCTGACCAGCATTGTAAAATAGCTGTGGAAGAAATTATTTGAACTGGCTTTTTTTTTCTGTTATATTCATGTATTGTGAGGACTGGGGAGGTTTTTAGAGACCATCTGCCCTACGCCTCAAATGGCAGATGAGGTAAGTGATGCTAGGAGACAATTTGACTTGGCCAAGGTCATGCATCAAGTAAATGCAGCATTGTCCAGGTTTCCTGATGCTGTGAATAGCAGCTGTGTTCAAAATCATTCCCATGGCTTAGATTACAGGTTAGACCTTAAGGATGCAGGAAGTCTGTGTAAGCCTTGAGCACCGGACTATAGCATGCACACACTCAGCTTTGGGACTTTTCTTCCCTTCTGCCTTTGCCAGCACTTTTCCTTCCCTTTCACCTTTTTCTTTCTCCATTCACTCTTCAGACGCTTTCCACAGTTGTTAGATTGTGTGTGTGTGTGTGTGCGTGTGTGTATATTCACACACGTGTGCTTCTACCACACTTGTTTTTGTTTTCGTGGCTTCTTAACCCGAGCAATGGGACAGAAAGGAAAATAAGAAGCTGGGTCCAAGCAACGCCATGTGACTAAACCAGAAGAAGGAATGGAAAGCGCTTAGCAGCTGGAATAAAAGCTGTGTAACTGTGCAAAGTGGCCTGGAAGGCAGGGCCAAGATACAGGGCATGGGGGAACATCAGAAGGGACCATCAAAACAAGAGCAGGGCCCAGGGATCCTAGTTCCTGAACCAAAGAACAATGTGTGTGAACAGAAGGATAAAGAATTCCCCAAGGGAAGATCCATTCAGACAACCATGAAAAGCCACAGGCACAGATGAAATATGACAAAATCTAACTGAACAAGTAGTTGAAGAAAGATGAAGGCCACTGGGTCATTTCCTCCTCGCCGCCAATTCTTCTGTCACCCTCTTGCCTTTGGTCTTCTCTCCTGATGTTCAGAAAGCTTGCGTTTCATTAGGGGTGGGTTTTCTTTCCCCACTCCTGACCTCCACCCCTGGGCACTGGAAGTAGGGGAGGTCTTCAGGCTTGTGAAATACCTTCAGCATCAGAGACAGACCCTGTGGCACTCCCAGCAAGACTGGGAGGAGAAAAACACTGATGAGGGAAAAGGGGAGTTTCTCAATGAGAAAGGCCCCATCTGAAGCCAGGCCGAGGGGAGACAGTCATGGTTCCTTCTCGCCTCTCCTCTCACTAACCTGAATCCCTCTCTCTGGTCAGGTGACTGCAGTTTTCTTTGCTGTTTAAGGACAACATATGGTTTCCTCCTTTCCCCGGTTTCTGGCTAGGTAGTTACTCTCTCATTTAGGGGCAGGAGACTGAAATTAGATGAAAAAGTTGGGGGGCTTCTCACCTGCCATCCTTACCAACATCACCTTCTTCCTGTGTGTCTTAGATCCATGTGAGCCCAATCCCTGTGAACATGGTGGGGACTGCCTTGTCCATGGGAGCACCTTCACCTGCAGCTGCCTGGACCCTTTCTCTGGGACTAAATGTCAGAAAGGTGAGTGCATCGTCACTAAATCCACTCTTCCCTCTGAGTTAAACAAGAGGCAGTCCTTTCTGTGTGAGAAAGCACTGCATGGCTCCCTGGAAAGGATTATAACTGCAAATACTGTATCATGCATAATGGATTTCTCTGCAGGGTCCCAGGCAGCCTCTCACTGGATCCTCACCCCTGCACTGTGAGATGGAGCTAGTACATTCATTCTACAGATGGGAAGATTGAGGCTGAGAGGGGCTAAGAGCTGGACTCTAACCAAGATGTATTCCAAACTCAGAATTTTATGTTTAGAGTGTTTGTTCTAACTGCAACAGAGTAATGTTGTCCTCAAATGGAGAGCAAGAAGGATCTCATGGCACATGAGGCCCAACCCAGTTAAAGAACGGAAACCTTGATCAAGGTCACACAGCTAGCTAGGTGGCAGAGCAGAAATTAGAGCCCTGGTGCCTGACTTCTGGCCCATGCTCTTTCATTCTGCCATCCTGACTCTGTCTGCCTTTAGTGAACTCTTGTAGGCATAACATGAGGCCATGGAATAAAGCATCAAGAATAGGACTCCTAGGGGCTAATTTTACCCCCAGAGAAAACCTGGATTTGGGCTGCTCTTGCAACCGTCTTACTTGGTTTTAGGTATATGTAGGGTTTTGTGGTTGACTTCTTTCCTTGGTGCCCTCTTCACTTATTCTTTTCTTTTTTTTTTTTTTTTTTTTGTCAAACATAAACTTTATTTTTTTTTTATTGAGATAGGGTCCCACACTGTCATCTGGAGTGCAGTGATGTGATCATGGCTCACTGCAGCCTCCACCTTCCAGGCTAAGTGATTCTCTTTCCTCAGTGTCCTGAGTAGGTGGGACTACAGGTGCATGCCATCACACCCAGTGATTATCTTTTTTTTTTGTAGCGATGTCACCATGTTGCCCAGGATGGTCTTAAACTCCTGGGCTCAAGTGATCCACCTGCCTCAGTCTCCCGAAGTGCCAGAATTTTAGGGGTGAGCCATCATGCCCTGCCAAATGTAAACTTTTTTTTTATTGCATTTTAGGTTTTGGGGTACATGTGCAGAGCATGCAATACAGTTGCATAGGTACACACAGGGCAGTGTGTTTTGTTTGCTTTCTCCCCTTCACCCACATTTGGTATTTCTCCCCTGGCAATCCCTCCCCACCTCCCCCTCCCACTGGCCCTCCCCTTTTCCCCCTATAGACCCCAGTGTTTAGTACTCCCCTCTCTGTGTCCATGTGTCCTCATTTTTCATCACCCACCTATGAGTGAGAATATGCGGTGTTTCATTTTCTGTTCTTGTGTCAGTTTGCTGAGAATGATGTTCTCCAGATTCATCCATGTCCCTATAAACGACACAAACTCATCATTTCTGATCGCTGCATAATATTCCATGGTGTATATGTGCCACATTTTCCCAATCCAGTCTATCATTGATGGGCATTTGGGTTGATTCCAGGTCTTTGCTATTGTAAACAGTGCTGCAATGAACATTCGTGTGCATGTGTCCTTATAGTAGAACGATTTATAGTCCTTTGGATATATACCCAGTAATGGGATTGCTGGGTCAAATGGGATTTCTATTTCTAAGGCCTTGAGGAATCGCCACACCATCTTCCACAATAGTTGGACTAATTTACACTCCCACCAACAGTGTAAAAGTGTTCCTTTTTCTCCACATCCTCTCCAGCACCTGTTGTCTCCAGATTTTTTAATGATTGCCATTCTAACTGGCGTGAGATGGTATCTCAATGTGGTTTTGATTTGCATCTCTCTGATGACCAGTGACGATGAGCATTTTTTCATATGATTGTTGGCCTCATATATGTCTTCTTTCGTAAAGTGTCTGTTCATATCCTTTGACCACTTTTGAATGGGCTTGTTTTTTTCCTGTAAATCTGTTTGAGTTCTTTGTAAATTCTGGATATCAGCCCTTTGTCAGATGGGTAAACTGCAAAATTTTTTTCCCATTCTGTTGGTTACCGATTCACACTAGAGACTGTTTCTTTTGCTGTGCAGAAGCTGTGGAGTTCCATTAGGTCCCATTTGTCTATTTTGGCTTTTGTTGCCAATGCTTTTGGTGTTTTGTTCATGAAGTCCTTGCCTACTCCTATGTCCTGGATGGAACACAGCGGGGGGCATCACACTACCGGATTTCAAACTATACTATAAGGCTACAGTAATCAAAACAGCATGGTACTGGTACCAAAACAGAGATATAGATTAATGGAACAGAACAGAGGCATCAGAGGCAACACAACATAGCTACAACCATACAATTTTTGATAAACCTGACAAAAACAAGCAATGGGGAAAGGACTCCCTGTTCAACAAATGGTGTTGGGAAAACTGGCTAGCCATGTGTAGAAAGCAGAAACTGGACCCCTTCCTGACACCTTACACCAAAATTAACTCCAGATGGATTAAAGACTTAAACATAAGACCTGGCACCATAAAAACCCTAGAAGGAAATCTACACTTATTCTTTTCATTTCCAATCCTGCAATTTCTTCAATAAATTTTCTGGATGGTTGAGGCTGTTGAATATAAACATAGCATCTGGGCTCATTCCTCAACTTCTCAGAAAAGTGACAAAATTTAAATGGACTCTGAAGCTAGCTAGAAAATGGAGAGATTAAAATTGTACCTCTTCTGGTGAAGGTGTAACGATTATCAAAGTTTTTATTAGGATAGAAAAATTAAGACTATGGGCACCAGAAGCAACATGGGAGACAATCAGCTGTGACTCAAAGATGAGACAGAAGCTTTGTCCTGGTGTAGCCTAGTATTTCAGGACCATGGACAAGGCTACACCTCCGTCGGTAACCCCACCTCCCACTGTACTATACATTTCTCCCTCTAGGGAAAATATACCCCAGATAATGTCTTATGCTTTGCCCTCACTTCTCTATGGATCTCCTACAGTGCAAAACAGGTGCAAGGACAACCCATGTGGCCGAGGCCAATGTCTCATTACCCAGAGCCCTCCCTACTACCGCTGTGCCTGTAAACACCCTTACACAGGTCCCAACTGCTCCCAAGGTAAGTGGTGGAGGTCCCTTCGATGCTAGGCTCTCTGTGCTCTATGTTGTACCTGCATCCTTCTGCTTGGAAGGTTAGATGCATATGATGTTTTTGTGGCAGGCATCCAAGATGATCCTTTTCCCTAGGCTTTCCAAAGATTCTTTATCCCTGGATCGACTCCATCCAGTGGGAACTGACTGGTCTGTGTCCCTTCCCAACCAAAAAGAATCATCCTGAAACTCACTTCATCCAGCAAGTAGGCTCTGATCTATTCCTGAGAGGGACCAAGTAGGGGAATTAATACATATCAAGTGCCTGCTGTGAGTCAGGCATTGTCTCAGGAAATTTATGTTCTTTCTTCCATTCTCCAAAAACACCTTGAGGAATTTACAGATGAAGAACCTGAAATGTACACAGGTTACTCACTTGCTCATGGTCACATGGATATCAGCAGGGCAGAGTTCTACCTAGCTCAGACAGGGCCCAGCATTCCTGCTTCATCCATGCCTCTTCGCTTCCTTACTGAGTGACCCATCTACTTATGCGCTTATGCATGGCCTCCAGCCATATTGCTTCATCCATGTTTGCTTATGTTCTTAAGGCTTCTGTGTACACTTACTAGAGTGTCAGTGGATCTGTCTTTCCCCTCTGGTGACCCATCTCTCTGGTGAAAGGATGGACACCAGTAGAATGCCACCAGTGTCTCCTTGTCATCTCAGACACGGGTTGTAACTCCTTATGAAGAGCCTTCCTGGCCCCATTCCTGTGTTCACAGTGGTTCCCGTGTGCAGGCCAAACCCCTGCCAGAATGGGGGTACCTGCTCCCGGCATAAGCGGAGATCCAAGTTCACCTGTGCGTGTCCTGACCAGTTCAAGGGGAGATTCTGTGAAATAGGTATGGGTCTCTGCCACCACCTCATCAGGGCTGCAAGTGAGGCCTCTGGAACCTTTTTCTCTAGGGGTTTCGTTGCCAGAATGTGGTTCAAATCAAGTTTCCCAAACTCTACTATTGCCTCAGCTTTTTCGCCTAAAGGGATAAGGTATGTCTCGCTTCATATAAAGAAAGTAATAAACTTGAATGTGGTGGAGGCAGATCAAAACACCTGGGCATCCCTGGGCCTTAACCCACCTTCCATCAGTTCTTGTGTGAGCCAGAATTGAATAAGTAAGCTCCCACACCCTACAACCACTCTATTTCATGTTTTAAGCAGGATTAAATATGGGCCATTCAACACTTTTTTTCTTTCTGAAATTTTGTGGTGAAATCTCAGGGCAATAAATACGCAGGTCCAGTTCTCTCACCACTTGACATACCCACCAAGCCCTTTTTGGGAGCAGCTTGCCCGTGGCTGTTGGTTCTCACATTGCTACCTGCTCTTTCGGAGGTTCTGATGACTGCTATGTTGGCGATGGCTACTCTTACCGAGGGAAAATTAATAGGACAGTCAACCAGCACGCATGCCTTTACTGGAACTCCCACCTCCTCTTGCAGGAGAATTACAACATGTTTATGGAGGATGCTGAAGCCCATGGGATTGGGGAGCACAACTTCTGCAGGTAACTGTTACCTTATTTATGCTCGGTTGATTTTGGTCACTTAGTTTAAAACAGATCATGGAGACTTATCAGCCTTCTTTCTAGGAAGATTTTCTTACTCAGGATAGGCGATGTTATGTTGCTGTAGCAAACAGCTGCCAAATCTCAGCGGTTCAAAACACAGCAGAGTCTACTTCTGGGCCAGTCGCTGTGGCTCATGCCTGTAATCTGAGCACTTTTGGAGGCCAAGGCAGGCAGATCGCTTGAGCCCAGGAGTTTGAGACTAGCCTGGGCAAAATGGCAAAACCCTGTATCTACCAAAAATACAAAGTAATTAGTTGGACTCGGTGGCTGGCGCCTCTAGTCCTAGCTAATTAGGAGGCTGAGATAGGAGGATCATCTGAACCCAGGAGGTCGAGGCTGCAGTGAGCTATGATTGTGCCATTGCACTCCAGTCTGGGTGACAAACTGAGACCCTGTCTCAACAAAAGCCAAAAGTCTATTTCTTACTAATGTTGCATGTGTCATGTGGGTTGGTGGTGGTGATGATAAGGGATTCAGCTCCACAGCGTTACTCAGATGCTCAGGAACAGCAAGAAGATACTGGAAAATGAAGCATGAGGTCTTTACTACCTCAACTTAGAAGGGATACATCCTCTCCACATACATATTTCATTGGTCAGAAATAATCACATGATCCCACATACAGCAAGTGCAATGTCTGTTGAAGGTGATGGTCCCTGACCCAAGGATGTTCAGGTTTTTCCATGTGAGGGTAATGCCACCACCGTCCCAGGGGTGATCTCATTTCCTTCTTTCTTTTCTGCTGCCTCCAGGCCACTCTGTTGGCTTTCTGCCACTACACTTTGTCCAGCCAAGGCCAATGAGTCCTGTGAGTTGCAGATTAGCAGGAGGGGATCTTTGTATGACTTTTAACTGGGTTCATAAATGAGGATTTTTTTTTTTTTTTGCACAAAACACTAGAACCTTACATTTGCACTCACCTTGAGCTGTTCTCTGTGGAGCTGTCTTCAGGGAGAGAGCAGGGGGCTCTTGGCAGCCTTTCTCAGAGGATGCCCATGCATAGAATTCAAAGACTCAGGAGCCCAACTCTCACCATGTTTATGGGATGATTTTACTCTCCTGACATAGAAAGGTCATCAACAGGGATCTCATTTCTTTTCCTACAAACCATTTGATGTGTTCTGTGGATCTGGCATGAGACTCGTGAGCTGCTTCCTCATCCTTGAGATTTTCCTCTGGAAGTCAAGGTTTTTCCAAAAAACTATAAACATCCTTCTATGCTAAGGGGAGCACAAGAGCTTGACACCTTCTTATCCAAAGGTTCTTTAATAAGATCCAGTGGGTTCATCAAGCCTTGACTCTGAGTTGTTTTGTTTTGTATTTTAGAAACCCGGATGCAGACGAAAAGCCTTGGTGCTTCATTAAAGTTAGCAGTGACAAGGTGAAATGGGAGTACTGTAATGTCACAGCCTGCTCAGCCCAAGGTAAAGGCCATGGCTATCCAGAGGCCCAGAGGGTTGGTGGGGGGGCATGGAGATTTGTAGGGAACTCCCTTGCCCTGTTCTTCCTCCACACCTGCTTTACCAATTCCCATCCCAGTGCCAGCCCAATTGCCCAACCATCTGCACCCACCAGGATGCCAAGCAGGTCTGAATACCTTTGTGGGTTTGGGTCAGGTGGTCCAACTCTAAATTCATGGTTTCTGACTCCAGGTCAGTGTCATCAGGAGATATTTACCCATCTCTTGCTGTTTGCCAGCCACCATGCTGGGCCCTGGGTGTAGAATGGTGATCAAACAGTGGCTGGGCTCCTATAGCCTCTCAGGATGCAAAGCATCTAAATTCCAGCCTCACAATCTTCCTGCCAGTCTGCCCTGGCCCTGCTCTGTGTCCACATATGAAATGATGTGCTCTTTCACCCTGACCAGTGGGATTCCCTCCTTGAGGAGTTTTACATATGTGCCTTTGATTTTATGGTTGCTTCTGTTTGTAACACTCCATCTCATGTCTGTACTTGTCTATATACAACTATTCTTTGAGAACCAACTCAAATATCTTCTCCTCCAGGAAGTCCTCCTTGATCTCTCCAGTGAAATGTTATCTCTGCCTCCTTACAAACCCCAAGGAACGAGGCAAGACACCACCTATACAGTATTTACTGTTCTTTCCTTTTGTATCACAGTCGTCTGTGCAAATGTCTTATCTCCCCATTCCACTTCATCTGAAGATCCTCTCCTCTACCCTGAAAAATCCTCCATAATTATAAGTGTGCATTAATAATGAAAGATGTATTGATGATACACACTTATAATTGTGGATGCTTTGTCAGGGTAGAGTATATATCCAGTGATGAATTTGTATATTTGTATAAACATAATGTGTTTGTGTACATGTCAATCTTAGGAGTCACACACGTTGAAATAGGAAAAGAAAAATCTTTGTTGTTAATTATGTAGACTAGCTTTATGTAATGCAATGTATTCAACAAATATCAACTGTGAGCCAACTGCATGCCCACCCCGTTCCAGTACAGTCTCTCAGCTCTGGACTCCTGCTCAGTGGCTGGGCTCAGAGTCATACCTCTGCCTGAGCCCTACTGAGGAACTGGAGGGAGGCTGAATAGCGTGATTTGTCTTACTTGTGTCCCACAGACATTGCCTACCCAGAGGAAAGCCCCACTGAGCCGTTGTCCAAGCTTCCGGGGCTTGACTCCTGCGGAAAGACTGAGATAACAGAAAGGAAGATCAAGAGAATCTATGGAGGCTTTAAGAGTGCGGCTGGCAAGCACCCGTGGCAGGCATCCCTGCAGACCTCAGTGCCTCTGACCATCTCCATGCCCCAGGGCCACTTCTGCGGGGGGGCACTGATCCACCCCTGCTGGGTGCTCACCGCTGCCCACTGCACCGAGTAGGTGCTGGTAGGGATCAGGGTGGCTTGAGTGCCTGGGGGTGCTCTCCCCTTCCTGTCTGAGTGGTATCTTGGTAGCTCTGGCAGGATTAGGGAGTCTGATATGGATTCACGGGCAAAAGAATGGCTCCTTAAAGCCACATGGAAAATAGCTACCACATCTAGAATGCTCACCATGTGCACTGTATTTATTATATGACATTTAATCCTCAACGCTGTCTGCTGGAAGACAAGCTGAGGAAGGTCAGGGATTTTAATCTCTTTTATTAATTGTGGGATATCCAGTGCCTTGAGCATGTCTTTGTAAATAGTAAGTGCTGAGTAAATATTTGTGGAGGAAAAGAGTTTATTGTTATTTCCTTTTTGTAAGTGAGAACATTGAATCTTGGGATTCTGCCTTTACCTTGCCTGAAGTCACATGGAAAGTAGGCGGACAAGTAAGATGGAAACTGCTTCTATCTGCTTCTTTGACTTCTTTTGTCCTGCCTTGAACAGAGGAAAGCATGCTCCACTGTCTGATGCCATCACCAATGACCCTTCTCAGTCAGGTGTCTTCAGCCAGGCCTCCTGTGTGCCTTAGATAAGCAAGTACCTTCTGGGAAGCTAAAGAGTCACTGCCTCTTCTGAGCTCCCTATGCTCATGGTCAAGGTTGGTCCAACAAAGCCTAGGTTTTGGAGGTAGCCTTGAAGGTCTTCCAGTTCACCTTGTTAGTAAATGATTTCTCTGGGATTCTAGGAGGTGGTGCTCCTCAAGAGAAGTCAAGCATGGAAACAATAGCACCTGCCAATGGGTTTAAGAAGATTGGTTCAAGATGGCAATGGCTGTTTTTGTTTTTGTTTTGGTATTTTTTTGCAAGGCCTAGGAAGAATGGAAGGTCTCCCATAAGAAGTGGATAAAAGTTACAACTTACATTTGGAGCTTGCTTCTGTTAATAAAGCACTTTCCTTACATTATCTTATTTGGACCCCACCACAGCAGAGTTCTGTGAGTGAGACGAGGGTTACAGATTAGGAGGCTGAGTCTGCAGAAGGTCAGATTTGCCAAAGGCCACATGGCTGAGCAGGAGCAGAGCCAGAGTTATTTACTAACATCTCATTTTCCCTTGCAGCATAAAAGCCAGACATCTCAAGGTGGTGCTAGGGGACCAAGACCTGAAGAAAGCAGAATTTCATGAGCAGAGATTTGGGGTGGAGAAGATATTCAAGTACAGCCACTACAATGAAAGAGATGAGATTCCCCACAATGATATTGGCAAGTTTTCTCTTTCATGGCTCTCTTGAGGGTCCTGTCCTGAGTGGAGTTCTCTATGAATGGAACACTGAAGTTTGGTTCTAGAAGGTGCTCTTGATTGTTTTTGGTCCCTCGTGGACCCTGTAAGGTAGAGAATGTATTCCAGAGATCTTTAGTTTTTAAGAATATATGTAAATGTGGATAAATGGGATATGCTCTTAAACAGAGGGGAAGCAATGCTAGGAACTTGTGCTGTGGAATGGGCTTGGCCTGGAATCCCAGCTTCCCAACGTTCTCGCTAGGAGCCAGCTCACCTCCCTGAGCCCTCTTTTCTCTTCTATTAAATGGAAACTCTGATGCACAACTCTCAGCTTCCTGTGTGTCAGGTGACAGGATGAGCATGCAAGCACATACTGGCCCCTGGCAGGTGCTCCAGTGCAAATGCAGTGATGTTTCTAGCTACCAGCTGCTTAGTTCTATATCCCATTTCCCTTTTCATGAGACCCCCCTCCACCTCTCTCTCCTTCCTCATGGCTTTTTTTTCCTCTTATGGCCTGTTTCTTAAAAAATGGAGTAGGAATGCTTTCAAACTCAATTATTATTTCTTTTTTGTTTGTTTGTTTTCTTGTTGAGGCAGAGTCTCCCTCTGTCACCCAGATTGGAGTGGAGTGATGCAATCTTAGCTCACTGCCACCTCTGCCTCCTGGGTTCAACCAATTCTCTTGTCTCAGACTCCAGAGTAGTTGGGATTACAAGCACCTGCCAACATGCCTGGCTAATTTTTTCGTATTTTTAGTAGAGTCAGGGTTTCGCCATGTTGGCCAGGCTGGTCTCAAACTCCTCACCTCAAGTGATCTGCCCACCTCGGCCTCCCCAAGTGCTGGGATTACAGGTGTGAGCCACCGTGCCTGGCCCAAACTATTGTCTTTGGAAAATCTGACCTTCTGCAGACTCAGCCTCCTCATCAATTATTATTTCTTGAAACGACTCTCACCCTGAAGTGTTACTCCTCCCCAGGTGGAAGTTCAAAATATGATATAACTGTGGAAGAAGCTTTTTAGGCATGGCATGGGTAGGTGGGCCTTTGCTGTGGCCACCTTCCTCAGCAAATTGAAGCTGGTGCTTCTTGGACAAAGACGTGACATCACAACCATTTCCCACCTCTCTCTCCACCTAGCTTTACTCAAGTTAAAGCCAGTGAATGGACACTGTGCTCTGGAATCCAAATATGTGAAGACCGTGTGCTTGCCTGACAGGTCCTTTCCCTCTGGGACTGAATGCCACATCTCTGGTTGGGGTGTTACAGAAACAGGTGAGTTGGCCATGCACTCTCCCATGACAGGTGAACTACATCAACCAGAGAAGAAAGGCCGAACTCAACTGCCCTTTTGAAGTTGAAATGAGTGTCATATTCAAAATGCATTAACCAAAGACAGCATCTGCCTCATCGTTCAAGCTCTGGTTAAATTCCTCCACCTGCAGGGAGCCTTTCCTGAAGTTCTCTGCTCTCCCTATCTGTCCCTGACCCCTGCCCTCAAATATTTGAATTTTACCAAGCATTGACCTTGCATCCATGGAGACCTTGCTCCTTCCCTAGGTGGACTGGAAGGAGGAAAGTTCATGGATTTTTGAGTCAGATAGATTAGTATTCAATTCTTAACTTTGTCATTGAAAAACTGAGTTTTAGTTTCTCAGTTATTATACTTAGATCTTAGTTTTGCAAGTGTGATCACAGGGGATAACAGAATTCTACAGAGACATTCATTAAGTCAGCCCTAGAAGATGGGAGTCAGGTCCCATTCAGCTCTGTCTGTTCCACAGTACTTTGGTCAGGGCTCTTCATACAGTAGACGTTCTATAAAATTTGTTAAATCCGGTGTTGATTTGTCTTTAGGACTTGGTCTTATCTAAAAAAGTAACCAGTCAGGCATGGTGGCTCATGCCTGTAATCCCAGCACTTTGGGAGGCTGAGGTGGCTGGATCACGAGGTCAGGAGTTCAAGACCCGCCTAGCCGACATGGTGAAACACTGTCTCTACTAAAAATACAAAAATTAGCTGGGTATGGTGATGCATCCCTGTAGTCCCAGCTACTCAGGAGGCTGAGGCAGAAGAATTGCTTGAACCCAGGAGGCAGAGGTTGCAGTGAGCCAAGATGTCACCACTGTACTCCAGCCTGGGCAACAGCACGAGACTCTGTCTCCAAAAAAAAAAAGTAACCAAAGGGTTACTTTTCTCATAGTACTGGCATGGTTATACCCTCTTACACACACACACACACACACACACACACACACACACAAATTCAGAATGATATTTCATGTCTTTCCCAAATACTCAAAATATATTTCTCTTCCTTCCCAAATCTTGTCCTTAATAATGAATAGAGAGAATCGCTTTAAATAAGTCTGCAGAAAAGTCCACACATCTGAAGAAAGTGAAATGTAATATACAACTTTGAGGCTTTTGAGAAAGATGTCTGGCTAATTGGATTTAGGGTCAACCAGTAAACTCATTTTATAGTCGTTTTCACTGTAGTCCATCTGAACTTGTCACCCTCTATTACGCTCAGTATGGTCCGGTCAGCATGGTGATGTCTCAGATGGGAATATTTTGCAGCCTCAGGTTAAAATTATTTTTCTTTTCATGAACGACCCTTCAAGACTTTATGTTCAAAGCCAATGACATATTTTGATTGATTTCATTACCATTTGAGGGGAAAATGCCTGCTCTAGGAACCAGGTAGCCTACTGCACAGGGCACTTCTTCCATTCATCCATCCATCCATTCATCCATCCATCCATTCATCCATCCATTCATCCATCCATCCATTCATCCATCCATCCATTCATCCATCCATCCACTAAAAATTGTGCCAGCCCTTTTATTAGTCCTATGGGAATTTTAAAATGATTAAGACAGCATCTATTTCCTCCTGAACCTCATGGCCTAGCTGGGGAGAGAGAGGCGGGAATATACGATCTGTTGCCATCCATCGTGACAAGCACAGGACTGCAAGTCTGCATTGACATGGCGAAGGCTAAAGATGAGACTTTTCTGCCCATCTCCTGGAAAAACCCTTCCCTTCTGAGCTGAGAGTTGGTGGGTTTCTCCCTGACAGTCTTGTTTCTGGTGGGGTTGGTGCCACCCTGGTCCCCACAGTAGTGACTCTTTTCTCTTCCCCTTCCCCACAGGAGAAGGGTCCCGCCAGCTCCTGGATGCCAAAGTCAAGCTAATCTCCAACACTTTGTGCAACTCCCGCCAACTCTATGATCACATAATTGATGACAGTATGATCTGTGCAGGAAACCTTCAGAAACCTGGGCAAGACACCTGCCAGGTCAGAGACTCCATGTGGTACTTGCAGAAGAGGCTGGCAGGATGTTTCACTAGGAAGAGGCCCCTTAGAGCCCTGGGCGGGGAGCTAGGTTCACAGGTCCACCTGCAGTAAAGCTAAGACACAGATGGGCTCTGTGTCTCCCTCCTGGTCCCCTGCTGTATCTGCATCCATATCAACCCAGGATGACTCAGCATAATGACCACAGAGGTCACATTGCTGCATTATCTAATTCAACTCTCACAACACACTGATGGAGGGGATGTCACGATCACATTTTACAGATGCTCAGAGATGTTATGTTGGCCTATAGCAATTGGTGGCCAGTGGCAAGGCTGGAATTTGAAAAATATAGTCTTCAGGACACCTAAAGGGCTTGTGGCCTTGTGTTGGGCAGCATTTCTGAGAATCCCAGTAAGCAGGTCACCGTCCAGAAGACCAGTGGCTAGAAGAAGAAAGAGGAAGATCTAGAGATTTCACAAGGATATTAACTCATTAGGACTCGTGCGTGTGTGTGTGTGTGTGTGTGTGTGTGTGTGCACGCATGAGAGAGAGAGAGAGACTGCGTGAGTGTCAGCCCTAGAAAACTAAGTATCTGTGTATCCTAGGGCCTTTGGGAACCCCAAGTTGCTAAGGCTTGTGACGCAAAGACACTGCAGCAGAGGGAGAAGGTGGTGGCTCCATCAACCAATGCTAAAGTGACATCGGGCCCTGCCCCAAGTCAAAGCCCACTCCCGATAGTTTCTCTCTCTGTAGGGATCACATCACACAGGTTCCTTTCTAGAATCTCAGGAAAACCTCCATTTAGAATTTTTTGCCTGCTGTCTCTGTAGCCTTCAAACCGTCCTGGGAAACAGCATGCCGACATTCAAATCCCAACTCCCCGAGGGAGTCTCCCTGTGCAAAGGAACCCAAAAATGATTTGCTGGCCTTGAACTCACTTTGGGATGGGACATAGAGGTTCCTCTCTCTAGGGTTTGTGGCTCTCCTGTGACCCTCTGTCTCTTCCCAAAGAGCCATCGATATTCACCTACTCAGAGGAGGGGTAAATGGGTGCAATTTACCCTAACCTCCGTCCCAGAAAATGGTTAAAATTCATTCAGGCTGGGCACAGTGGCTCAAGCCTGTAATCTCAGCACTTTGGGAGGCTGAGGCAGGCAGATGACCTGAGGTTAGGAGTTCAAGACCAGCCTAGCCAACATGGTGAAACCCTGTATCTACTGAAAAAAATATAAAAATTAGCTGGGCATGGTGGTGCATGCTTGTAGTCCCAGCTATTGGGACTGAGGCAGGAGAATTGCTTGGATCCGGGAAATGGAGGTTGCAATGAGCCTAGATGGTGCCAATGCACTCCAACCTGAGCAACAAAGAGAGATCCTATCTCAAAAAAATTAAAAGCTTGTTCAATTCTCTAGATAATTCAAGGATTTCACTTGCAGGGTTTGAAAACAAATAGTTGTGGATATGAACCAGTTTCTGTCTCTTACTGTATGAGTTTTATCAGTGATGAAAGCAATTCTTCAATCTCAGATGCCTAAGCTATAAAATGGAACTAACCTATCCATAAGATCACAAGGTCGTGGCTAAGTTTAAAAGAGAGAATTCATTTTTTTTAAACACCTGCCAGTTGTAGTGATTAGGCAGTAGTAAGTATTCAAGAGCTATCATCTTCAATGTCTTCTTTTCCTCACCATCATCATCCTCACTGCCTTCAAGAAGGGTTTAATATGAACCAGACACTGTCCTATATACTGTACTAAAAATAGAACCCTGGGGGGTGGGGATCTATTGCTATCTATGGTTTACATGTGAGAAACTGAAGCCCAAGATCACATGTCTGGCAGGTGGTAGCGCCTGGCTTGAAACCCAGGAGATCTGACCCCATAGACCATGCTGAGCAACTAGGCCACGCTGCCTTGGAGTCCCCATCTTCCTCCCCGCGTGTGCTGTGGGCCCCTGAGAACTCACAGTCATAATATTTGCATCACTAAGAGTTTGGAAATGCATCCCTGTAGCTTCTTTGCTAAGCCCTCATGGACTCAGAGATGAAGGACACTGTTATCTTCTCTCCCTTAGAGTCTTGCATCATGTGAGATGTGGGGAAAGCCTTGTCACTGCTTTCCAGGGAAACCCACGGAGGCTGGCAAGGGACTCCACCCCATCCCTCCCTGACACCCCCTGGAGACGGGTGGGGGAGTTTCCAAATGTCTCTTATACCTCTGTTTCCTTTAGGGTGACTCTGGAGGCCCCCTGACCTGTGAGAAGGATGGTACCTACTACGTCTATGGGATAGTGAGCTGGGGCCTAGAGTGTGGGAAGAGGCCAGGGGTCTACACCCAAGTTACCAAGTTCCTGAATTGGATCAAAGACACCATCCAAAGTCAAAGTGACTTTTAAGGTACTGTCTTCTGGACCTCAGAGCCCATTCTCCTTAGCACCCTGACACCAGGAGGCCTCATGGCCAACAATGGACACCCCGGACTCTCCAGGGGACCACACAGTGGAGTGTCCTCGGTCTCAGCAGAGACAGCTGCCACCCATCCTGGGCCTTTCCGGACCGGCATTTGCATGATTTCACAAGGCTCCTTCTGCCTCCCTTGGTAACCCAAGGAATGATGGAATCAATACGCCACAGTATGTTTGCTTCCCTCAACCAACTGTACCTTCCAGAAAATCAGTGTTCACAGAGACCGCCTCCACCACAGACATCTGCAAATGCAGACATCAGAATGCCCAGCATCAGCAGGCACCACCGTCACATCTTTATTCCCCAGCCCAGACACTTGAGGTGCTCAACAGAACCAGCCATCCACATCTAGCTATCAGAGAGGACCACAAATACAACATTCTCCATTCGCTTTCAGCGTTAGTATTTTAATAAAGGCAGATCTAGGATGGGCTGGTGGGCCATTTCTTCCAGCTCGCCCAAATCAAAGCCATCTGAAGCATGTCTCTGGTGAGCAAACTGCCTCTCTGGCCTCTCAAGAATCGGAGCAGACATGGCTCACAACAGCAGGGCCTTCTTCCTTTTGACGTGCAGAATCTCAGTGGCATCTGGGTTCACCTCCCCACTCTGATGATCTCCAGCCTCCATTGCTTCTGCTCTGGGCTGCTGGAATCAAACATACCCCATGTTAAAATGACGTTCCCAGCCTGTTCCCATAGGACACGCTAAGAAGCCCTGGGAGCTAACATGTCCACCCTCCCCTTCTTTTTCCCCTCCTCTACCCTCCCCAAGAAAGAGGGTCCTCAAGGCAAGAATGAGAAAGAAGCAAAGCCAATTTCTCATTTAGACCTGGCATCTTTCTTCTGAACAAAGTAGGGTTCAAAATGCACACTGTCGTATCCAGCAAGTCCCTGACCCTTTCTGCGAATGTAACGAGCAAGCAGTCAGCACAGCCTGGGCTGCCCTGGCCCGGGATTGATGTAGCCCCGGTAGGTTTGCCTCTGCAGAACTAATGGCTGTGACTTCAGAGAAAGCCCTGCAGGAAGTTTAACCTGCATGTCATCTGCCTGGTCATCTCAGACCCATGAAATTAGGCACCTTGTTTGAGCCGCATTTCACATTTCTTTAGAGCTATCTGACCTTTGGCCAAAAATAAACTTTGAAAAGAAACAATGAGTTTGTCTTTCCCCATGGCCTCGCAAGCCAGGGTGGCTTTGCCGCTTGCTACTCACGTAAGCTCCCCGAACACCCAGGCCCCTTGCGTTGGCCAGTTCTGCAGCCCGCCGAGCCATTTCCACTTTGTAGGAGCCAGGAGGGGTCCAGCCAACACCTCTTGTCAGGTTCAAGTCTGACTTGTACTTGACCTTGAGGATAAGAGGGAAGCAAGAGGAATATCTCAGCAGGGTTTGGAGCAGTTTGACCATTAACTAAAGAGGATTAAAAAGGCAGCCACAAGATGAGACTATGTTGTTGGTTATGACAAGGGAAGCAAATTTATCATAAGCAGCGTCTCCCTGGCACAGGGGCCCCAATGTGCTGTGAGTCCGGCTGGCATGTCACCCTCTCTTGCATCTTCCCATTCAAGTGACAAAAGTTACAATTGGGAGTTGGTGGGGGCAGTGACACCTGCTCCACACACTCTGTGGCCTCAGGGAAGCCACTTCCCAGGGAAAGTGCAAAGGCTGGGTTCATAACTACTAAGATCCCTTGGAAACAGTTGGGCATAGCCATCAAGAGCTTGGGCTCTCACTGCAAACCAAATGGGGTTCGTATCCCAGGTCTGCCGTTTATGTGATCTTCAGTAAGTCACTGAGCCTCTCAGAGCCTCAGATTCCTCATCTGTAAAATGGGGCAGTCCTGGGGTTGGCATGAGTGCCAAATGGCATGAGGCCTGGAGAGCATTTGACACAGGGCCTGGCCCACAGGAGACACTCAAGAAGTGGTCGTTATTGTTGTTATTCTTTCTGGCACTAAAGCATTAGGTGTCTTGGATTCTCTCTCAGCCTAGCTCTCCCAGAAGCTAACATGGAACGGGGCATTATGTCCAACTCTTAGGAAGAGGCACCAGGGGAAGAGCCTCAGGGGAGTGGGTGGAGGCAGCTCACATCACTCTGCAGCTGGTGGGCCTTCTGAGCGTGCCTGAGCCCCAGCTGCTCCGGGTCACAGGTGGGCTGGGGCAGAGGCTGCCTGTAGTGCACATCACTGGCCAGCTGCTGGCTCCTCTTAGCCTGAAGGAGGCTGGGCTGGTCCGTGCGGCTGTGAAACTGAGATCGATTCTTGGCAAAGTCCTTCTTGTACTCATTGTCACTCTGAAGCCTGCCAACATGGAGGAAATGCTTCATCCTTGGGTCATCGTTGACGCTGCGGTAGCCAATCTGCAGGCCTCGGTCCCGCAGGAAAGCCTCTTTGTACCGGAACTGCAAGTCAGAGGAGCAGAGGCAGGTCATGGGTGCCTACTTCCCCCAGGGCCAGCCTCACATATGGGGCCATCCCAGGGCATTCTCAGCAGGAGGCTCAAGAGTGGGTTAAAGGCACAGGCTTTGGATTCAAGCAGACCTCGCTGTGTGGTCATGGGCCAGTCACTGAGTTTCTCCCGGAGCCTCAGTTTCCCCATCTGATAAAATTGGAGAATGATCTCCACCCCATGGGGGGTTGAGAAGATTCAACCAGATAGGAACTGAGCTTCATGTCTGGCAATCAGCTCAGGCCCACTGAGTGGTGGCTACTTGTATTACCACTATTATCATTAACACTCCAACAGGAAGAGGAATGCGCCCATTCTCCCACAGGCCACTCTGCGTTTGATTCTTTCCAGCTTTCAGGGACCTAGTTCAGCGCTCCTCAAACCATCCACAGTGAAAGGCCAGTCCCATTTTGTTTTGCTTTTTACATTTCCAATGCATCAAAGACCATATAGTCCTATTGCATGTGGCTAGTACGTAGTCGTACCACTTTTATTTGGTAACACCCAACCTGGCCTTCACCCTGTTCAATGAGCTGAGTCCAGTGATCACATGTTTGGCTACTACAATGTCTAATTGCTAAAAAAAAAAATTTTTAAATGCATGCTGTTTATTTCTGTACTTATCACATTGTGGACCAGCAGGAAACTTCCCAGGTGGGGCTCTGTCTGGTACTGTGGATGCTTGTTTAGTCAGTGGTGCCCTCTCTTTCAAAATATCTGCTATGTTCCAGACACCATATATGATTTTGTTTTCATTCCTACTTTAATCCAGGAGACAAGGTCCCTATTTCATGGATGTAGAAACTTAAGTTCAGAGAATATGAGCAACTTGCCCCAGACAAACAGCCAATTCCTAAGTGACAGAGTCAGGATTTGAACTTGTCCATCAGGGCAAAAACCCCATCTCTTTCTACTCTACCACACTGAACTTCAGCTAAAAGAAGTCCTTTTATTGCAAATCAACAACGCAAGCACATATTCATGGACCTCTTGGTACTCATCCATCATCTTTTAAGAGTGTCTCTCTGTAAAGAGAGAGAATGGGAATACAGCGTCCTCGACCCCAATTTCTGCCTAAGATGCTAGAAAGTACAGCCTAGGACGGGCGCGGTGGCTCACACCTGTAATCCCAGCACTTTGGGAGGCCGAGGCGGGTGGATCACGAGGTCAAGAGATTGAGACCATCTTGGTCAACATGGTGAAACCCCGTCTCTACTAAAAAATACAAAAAATTAGCTGGGCATGGTGGCACATGCCTGTAATCCCAGCTACTCAGGAGGCTGGGGCAGGAGAAATGCCTGAACCCAGGAGGCGGAGGTTGCGGTGAGCCGAGATCACGCCATTGCACTCCAGCCTGGGTAATAAGAGCGAAACTCCGTCTCAAAAAAAAAAAAAAAAAAGAAAGTACAGCCTATTTTTTTCTTTCATTTAAAATACAGTATGTGTTCACAGTTTTGGTGCGGAGAGAGATAATCTTGACAGGTCCTGGTGGTTTGCCTTTCAACAGAACTGGGAAAACCAGAAAAATAACCCATCAGTGATGGCAGAGAGAATATGGGGTCTTACATCACTGGCGATCTCCCTCGATGCCCGGGCAGTCTGGAAGGGGATGGCATCCAGCCTGAAGTCGTAACTGCCAGCCCGGGTCTGCTCCCAGGAGTTTCTGTAGACTTTCTAAATTGGAAAACAAAAGCATGAGTAAGCAGGTGGTCACTCCGCTGTCTTCCATGTTGCTGGTACTCAGCAGGAGTGGTTCCTAAGCTTGTTGGTTCCCAGGATGGCAGAGCCTATAGCCCCATGTCCACCTTCGGGACTCCCTAACAGTGGGATTGGTGGGGTTAGCCATAAAAGGCTCAGCTCTAAGCCCCCAGCCCTCCCATTAGGCCCTGCTCTTGTGAGGCCTGTGATCTGTGGGTCTGGCTCATTTGCAACACCCGCTTGGTATCAGAAGCCCCCACCCACTCCTTCCTGTCTTTGTATTCACTTTCAGTGCTTCGGGTTTGCCGCTTCTAGGTGCCAGAATTCAAGTTTCCAGAATCCAGTTTCCCCCCACATGCTGAAAGTGCTGTTCCTTGGGCCTTGGCACTCGTGTTCATTAGCTCCACTGACATCTGGGGGGCCTCAGCCTGGCCTTGATGCCATGCCCCACACCATCCCTGTGAGGCATGCTGCATCTCATATACACCCCTGGTGCCTGCACGAAGGGAAGAGCCTTCACCTGAATTAAATTTATTGTCAAGAACCTGACCGAGTACCTGACCCATGTGTTTCATATCTTCCTCTTTCATTTTTTCCCTTTTCAAGTTGTTCTCACACGCCCTCTGGGAGTCTGTAATCATATCCTCTTAGTCCTCAGGTAGACCCACATCACCGATAGAGGCATCAAAATCTTCTGTGCCTTCATGTAGCTAATATTTTTTTTTTCAAGATAAGGGAATGGCTCCATAAAAGGAGGCATCTGGAGATCCCAGTGGAGGGCTGTTCTTTATTCAGCCACAGAGAAGGGAGACAGCAGGAGAAGCACATCACCAACAGACGACAAAGTGACAGCCCCAGACCGTGTCGGTTGCTCACTCATTCCACGAGCTACAGCAGGTCAGGGGGCCCTTAAGAACCGTACTTTTGTCTCCTGGAAATGGAGGTCAAGGCTGGCTCTCTGTTCTACAGGGGATTGGGGGGATTAAGCATGAGAGGAGTGGCAGATGAAAAGCAAAGTGCCCCACCCCATCCCGCAACTGGGCCAGGAACTGAGAGGACCACAGAGTGCTTGGGCCAAGCATGGCGGATCTCATCGTTTCTCTGTGCCGCAGACCACACCAGCTTCACCTCCATCCTCGCCTCTGACTCCAACACCCAATGCCGCAAACCCTGAGCCAAATGTTCACTATGTTCTAGGCCCTGGAAAGGCAGAACCATTAATTGCTGGGATAAACACCTAATTGATGGGTCACAGAGCCAAAAATAATTAGATTTACTGGGTCATCACTGAGCTTAGCAGTTAGGACTGAAATACATACAGGAACGTTCAGACTCGGACAGAGTGATGATCCCCTGTAGCACTCTGCTTTCTGTGTGGACAGCCCCACAAAGATTAGAGTAGCAAATAGAGTCAAAACCCTGAACACTGTCTCTAAGGGGCACACCATGCCTTCTTAATAAGAACCCCCACACCAGATCTGGGCTGGTTATTGACACCAAACTTGATGCAACATCAAACTCCAATGTCACCCCACCTTGGTGCCCAATGCACCCCAGCTTCTGAGTCTCTGTAACTTGGGGTCAACTAGAAAGCATGGCCCAGATCGGGGTCTCCGGAGAGTGCGGGCCCCCTTGCTCTGGGTGACTTCTCCCTGTGTACTATTTGCTTGGTTGTGATCACTTCCTCCCTGAGTTTTTTATTCTGTTGAGGTTTTTGCCTTGCCACTGGGAGTCTTTAGATTCCGTAGGCACTTTGATTTGGAACCCTGGGCGTTCCTCTTCTTTATCACAGTGGGCACAGTTTTGTCCTCATCCTCACGCATTAGAGTCATTTGATTTTTAGTTATTTCGGCTGCCTTACACATCTCAATGGCTTTCTTTGCCCAGGAAGGTCACTTTCCCTCCACATCTTCCTCACAGAGCACTTGATCCAATTGTGCGTGTTCTACACGCCCCCGAAGAAGTGCTCTTTCAAAAGAGGTTCATGAGTTATCCATATCCGCATACCCTG